ACTCCGGTTGAACACCAGCCCGCCTCCAAGCCCCCAATCACTTGCTTGGCAGGGGTTAGGGTTTAGGTTTAGGGTTTAGGGTTTAGGGTTTGGGGTTTGGGGTTTGGGGTTTAGGGTTTAGGGTTTAGGGTAGGGTCCCGGGGATCTATATTGGGGGCTCCTGTTTCGATAAACCCCGCATATCACAATAAGGGTACCCTTTTTGGGGTTGGTCATAAGGGAACCTAGAACCAGAAGAAAACGCAAAAGGGTACCGCTGGGCTACCATGCTCGTCCTCAGGTCCGTGACGACCACCGCAATAAGCACGATCAGGGCGACGCTCAGGAGGGCACAGACGATGTCGAGCCACCTACTTGGAGGCTCATGGGTAGGTATAAGTAGGGTTATAAGTAGCCTAAATACGGTTATAGCCAGTGATATTTATAGTTACCCTGCTTATAACTCATAACTTATAACCCCACTTGTAACTCCATGAACTTCAAGTACAAGCGCGCAAGGGCGAGGGGTCAGTTCTTCGCATGGTGGTCCGTCCCTTTTTGGGGAACCTTAACATAGGGACCGGCTTAGAATAGCACTCATTTGGGGTTGGGTGTCGGGCGGCGGGATTGAGAAAGGCTGCGCGCTTGATGCAAGGAACTGAATGGCTGTTGTGCGGAATCGATCCCATCTATGCCAAGCGTGGCCCGCAAGATCACCGCCGCCTTGTGACCGTCTTGTGGCACACGACCTTGTCATGCCCCTCCTGATGTGGAGGCTGGGTTGAGAGTCCTATGGCTTTATTTCAACATAGGGGTACCCCGAATCTACCCCAAAGTATTGCAATCCTTCTAAAAGGAACCCCCCCCCCCCCCAAAAAAAAAAAAAAAGGGTACCCTCATTTTCGGAAACCCCAGAAAGCCATAAGACTGGCCGGCATACGCGGGCCGCCTACATTGAAGCAGCAGAGGGCCTAGCTAGCCAAAGCTGCGCTTCAAGGGACTGATTAAAGGAGGGACTCTTATAAGGGACTTTAGGGGTTATTTAGGGGTCATGTAGGGTGTATAGGGACTGTACAAGTACAAGATATATATGGTTCCGTGTCCCGTGTGGGTACAACTGCCCGCCCCCACCAGCAACTTCGTCCCCCCCCCCCCCATTGGGGGCGGGGGGGGGGGACCATGGGGAAGGGGGGGGGGGGGGGGGGCAGCGACGCTGCACCACCATATACAGGGGTTGCAGAGGGGAATAAGATTAAGGGCCCCTTCGAGGGCTCCCTCCCTCTACCCCCTCAAGCGTTGACTGCACGAGACACCGAGTTCAACCCCTAAACCCTAACCCTAAACCCTAAACCCTAAACCCTAAACTCTGAATCCTAAACCGAGCTTCCGTGTTGGCTTCGCGTCCGCGTGCGCGGCGCACCACGTAGGCGGCGAACTGGCGCACAGGATAAACCTCAAAGCACCAGGCTCTCAGCACTTGGGATGTCCCCCCTTATACTAACAGCTCCTTCATGTAGGGATTCTAGTACCCCTAGTATAATCCCTATTAAGAACTGAACCCAGCTGTGAGCTCAAGTTCTGAACATCCACACGTCCTGGATGCGCAGTGTTCGAGTACACTGTCCGGGGGTCTTATGGCTTAAGGTTTACGTTAATTGAAACTTTGAAGTCAAATCCGCGAATGCATCCACAATGAACCTGGACTCATGGAGAGTTTGTAGGGGGGTATATGTCCCTTAATCCTGGTCATTGAAAAATCACTGTCCATACATCCCTAAACTAAACCCCTAAACCGTAAACCCTATGCCCTACGCAAGAAGTCGCGAAGTCATAGGAAGGCTCCCTGCAGCATCCTCGGACGATTCCAGCCGAGGGGCGTGGAACTGAAAGCATGTGAGGACGCTGAGCATCAAGCCAAACATGGTCAATACCACCTCATAGAGGGGTTAGGGTTTAGGGTTCTGGGCTTTGGGGTTCTCGGAGACGTTTTCAGGGCTTCGGTGTTATTATCGGGGCAGCACTGCAGCTTCACAGGATTCAAATCTCGCTGCCGCCTCTAGTGGAATCGATGCAGGCCACCAAGCCCGAAGCTGTCAAATCCCAAAAGGGTTTAGGGTTTAGTCTTTAGGGCTTAGGGTTTAGGGTTTAGGGTTTAGGGTTTAGGGTTTAGGGAAGTCAGTAGGCGAGCTCTGAGGCTCCTGGGAACCCTGTGAGGGGGATCCTTTTCTGACAAGAATAACTAGACTCAGGAGTAACCCAAGAATTCGAAGGGTACCCTTTTTGGTTTAAAAGGGGATTATAAGGCAACCTGAACCAAAAGAAATGGGGGGGGGGGGGTGGAATAAGGGCCTACGCTGGGTCCTAGAATCCACTCAGTATACCTAGAACGGAGCACCTTCCATCGAACAACCCCCCCCCCCCCCCAAGACACCTTGGGAGCCACATGAACCCTTAAAGGGTTCATGGTTCATATACCTTATAATGGGAGTGATCGTAGTATAGGGGTACATGGTTCATATACCTGAATAGGAGTTGTATAGGGTATATGGTTCATATACCTGAATAGGAATTGCATTAGTAAAGCGTATAGGCTCCCCAAATGTTAGGGCTCGATTGGTCCCAAAGGGGACTCGTCTTGCGACCGCGGTGCGAAGGGGTTGTGCCCAACCGGCTTCAACGAGTTCACCAAGGAGTCCTGGCGACTTTTGAAGACTTAGGGTTCAGGACCTGGGGAGGGAGGTTGGAGGTTTCGGCTTTGAAAGTTTTAACAGGACTTGTGGAGACGTATGTGGGTTTATGAGAGCTCGAATTGATTAAAACGATGCTTTTCTGGGTACTTTGAGGGTCCAGGGAGGTGTGGCTCTCCACTGCTGCGCCGGTTTCGAGACCAGGGTCCATGGTCTTCGGATGCAGGGCTTTGGGCGTTTTTTTTTGGGGGCACGGGGTTTATCTAGGGTTTCGGGTTTAGTTTAGGGGCTTAGGAGACAAGATTGGAGATATACTTGTAGGGCTTGCGGCTTAGGCTGCATGTGCCACGGGTTGAGATTTCGGAACCTGTAATTAGGGGATTTGTGGTTTGAGGGTCGTGAAGCTCCTTACCAATTGCCCACTCGGAGCCTTCTGGTTGTCTCCGACGCCGAAGGCTAAGACCCCGAACACAGACGTCAGCAAGTAGATCACAAAGCAGATGATCAGGCAAATGATGCCCGCCATGTTCCTTGGGCTTTGGGCTGAGCACGACAATTTGAGGGTATAGTTACATGGTCCCTTAGTATGGGGACCCCTTACATACCCCTTGTATCATCTAGACAACCCAAGGGCCCATACCTCAACACCCTGTAAAGAAATTAAGGGACCATATTAAGGGACCATGGACCTTCCCTAAGAAGGTTCTAGTACGGCAGTGCCGAAGGCTATTTAAGCCGCATGTGCGTTCAGGAGCTGCCCGAAACAACTTGTCCATGTAGCCGTTTTGTTTGGAATGTATCTCACGACTCCGCTGTCAAAGTTCCCTCCACCTGCTCTAAACAAACCTTAAACCCCTAGAGTCTAGGGTTTAGGGTTTGGGGTTTGGGTTTAGGGTTTAGAGTCTAGGGTTTAGAGTAGACTCCGCGATGGCCGAAGCGCGCAAAGCAACCGACTCCAGACTGGACGCATTAGATGATGGGTTGCGGCCCAGGAACTAGGGTTTAGGGTTTAGGGTTTAGGGTTTAGGGTTTAGGGTTTAGGCAGTTTAGGGTTCACGTAGGGTTTAGGGCCGTTTGGGGTTTTGGGTTTAGGGTTTAGGCAGTTGAAGGTTGAGGGGCTTAGGCGTATATGCCATGAACCATGTGAGAGGTTTCTGCACTCAGGATCACGGCTTCTTGGTGTGCTTCCCCAGGGGCATGCGCAGAGTCGACGGCTCTGGCTTCAGCTCGCCCGTCAGTTGAGGCACGTTGAACTGGTTGTTGTAGGCAAACCTCGCCAGGATTGAGGCTTCACTAAGTACCCAAACAAAATAAGGTGCCGCTGCCATATGTAGCAGCTTCCACTCTCTGCAACGATGCTCCCAAACCTTGCAAACCTTAAACCCCTAGAGGCAACTTGAACCCTAAACCCTGCTTGATGGGGGCTTTCGCGTTGTAGGGTTTCGCGCCAAATCAGCCCAAACCATTGCCCGATACGACGCACCAGAAGCCTAAACCTCCCACAAGATTGAGACCCATCAGAACTCTATGGCTTTCGGGTTTATGAACCCAAACCTTAAGCCCTAGACCCGAAATAAACCCTGAACCCTAAACCAAAACCCCCACAACCCCCACCCTAAACCCTAAACCCTAAACCCTAAACCCCAAAACCTTGGGATGCTCCCCTTTTACTAACAGTCCTTAATCGGGATTCTAATAGGGGGGTACTATAATTCATCCCTATTGTCAGTATAAGGGGGAACATCCCAACCCACAACCCTCGATGTAAACCCAACCCTAATTTTGGTTCGGGGTGTGGGGGCTTATAACTTTACTATGTCGCTAGGCCGTTGGACCCTGGCAAGAAACAATAGAGTTTGTCTGTTGTTGTGGGGAGACGGAACGTTGGCGGGGGGGGGGGCGGGTGGGGGGCTGGAGGTGGGGAGCATGCTAGAGAAGGAAGCATCCCATGACCCAAAACAAGTATACCCCCAACCGAAGCCGCACCAGGGATCGCGTAGAGCTGGCGTGGGCGTATGCAATCTGCTCAAGGCGACTAGGGATATGATCAAGGAGTAGCAGAGTGTAGGGTTTAGAGCTCCCCGATTAGACCTGAGGGTCCATGTACCTGAATAGGGAGTACTTGGGCCTTAAAGTACCTCCTATATAGGGACTTTGGGGCCCAAGTATAAAATAATGAGGTACATGGACCCTTAGGGTAGTAGATCTCCTCATAGCATGGATGGCTGGCTCTTCCAGCGTCGTTTTCTCGCTTGATGCTTCCGCAAACCCTCTGTACTTGCTAGCATCTGCTGGGGGCCTTGACTTGATCAGACGCGACAAGCCATATTCTGCTCACCCTAAACTTGCAGGCTCAGAGAGCACAGGTCTTGGTTCTCTGGCTGCCCTCAGCAGGATTTGCATCACTGCCTTAGCGGCCTCTGGGTTGCTTCGAATGACTCGATCCAGCCAGCTCTTCTCCTGCTCGAGAACTGCAAAGGAATCTGCTGCCAAGACGCCCATGCACTTCGCCTCCAAGCTACCACCGCTGCCAACCACATGCTCTAAAATTGTGAGCACACTTTCCGGCGAGAGTAGCGCCTGCAGCTTCTGCTCCACCATGCACACAAGCCTTTGCAAACAAAACTTGTCTCCAAGCCTCCGAAGTGAGAGCATCTGCTTAGCATCCTGGCAGTCAGCGACCTGGCCCGTCATCAGGTAGTGGAGCACTGCAGCAACGGAGGAACGGTCTGCATGCGGGTCGCTACTCAGGTCGACCTCCTTGGTCGCCCCTTCTTGCCATGACGTGCCTGCGAACATGCGAGCAAAGTACTCGGAGCGCGTTGTCAGGATACGGCTGTCAGCAAACAGTGCTGACCCGTCAGCAACACGGAGAGTGATGATGACAGGTTCTGATGCAAAGTCCAGCGGCTCCAGATGCACGGCTGTGTTGAATTGCGGAAGATGTACCTTGCCACGGACGCAGAGCTTCATACTCTGCCAGCTAGGGCCCAGGTCGGAGGATTTGACCAGGTCGTGCCACCCTCGGTCGCGTGCATCTGTCTTGAAACTGAAGCGTTCTGTCTTTTGCCCAACTCTTTTGACTCCTCCCACGGTGTACTCTACTGTGATGCAGAAGCTCACATCCTGACACGTCCAAGTGGTCTCAGCAAGGTGCGGCGGGGGCAGCAGCTCAACAAACGCGCTCAGGCTATTTGCCATCGCCTCGCGCGTGCCGTTGGGGAACACTTTGAGTCGGAACAGGAATGAACAAAGTGGCCCCTTCACTTCCGAGTGAATAGCGTCTCCCACCAAGTAGGTTTGGGCTTGCCTGTCTACCAGCATGTCCACTTCATATGCCTGCCGCTGCCTTGCCACAGGCAGCATGTCAGCTGTGACATCGGTTTCTGCAGCGGCCATAACTGCACAATCGCTGCTGCACACCGGCTGCGTCATTACGTTGAGCCAGAAGGACAGGCCAGAAAGCTCAATAACACTTATGTTACGAAGTTGAAAAAAAACCAAGACATGCACACTTCGACATGCAGAATCCTAAACATGTTGTGTATTGTGATGTTTTCCGAATAATAGTGTATACCTGAAACCCTGAACCCTCTCTTACTATGTATATTTAAACCCTAATGACCTTCGTGACCATGTTGTTTTTTTTTCTGGGCCCTAAACCCTGACCTCCTTCGTGACCAAATTGTTTTTTTTCCTGGGCCGTGCCTCCAAAAACACCCCAAATGAGGGGGACCCCAGGATCGGCCCGGGTCCCAGTTCAAAATGCGATTTTTTAGTACTGAAATCGACGCTTCTGGGTGGGCTCTCGTTTTCTGGATTTTTGATCAAAACCGAGCCTTTGGGCCCTAAACCCTGACCCCCTTCGTGACCAAATGGTTTTTTTTCACCCGGGGGGGCCCTAAACCCTGACCCCCTTCGTGACCAAATGGTTTTTTTAAACCCGGGGGGGCCCTAAACCTTGACCCCCTTCGTGACCAAATGGTTTTTTTCCACCCGGGGGGGCCCTAAACCCTGACCCCCTTCGTGACCAAATGGTTTTTTTCCACCCGGGGGGGCCCTAAACCCTGACCCCCTTCGTGACCAAATGGTTTTTTTCCACCCGGGGGGGCCCTAAACCCTGACCCCCTTCGTGACCAAATGGTTTTTTTCCACCCGGGGGGGCCCTAAACCCTGACCCCCTTCGTGACCAAATGGTTTTTTTCCACCCGGGGGGGCCCTAAACCCTGACCCCCTTCGTGACCAAATTGTTTTTTTCCACCCGGGGGGGCCCTAAACCCTGACCCCCTTCGTGACCAAATGGTTTTTTCCCCCCGGGAAGGCCCTAAACCCTGACCCCCTTCGTGACCAAATGGTTTTTTCCCCCCGGGGGGGCCCTAAACCCTGACCCCCTTCGTGACCAAACGGTTTTTTTCCCCCGGGGTCTAGGGAAAGTTTGCCTCCAAAACCACCCCAAATGCACCCCCCACCCCACCCTCCCCGGTTTGAGAATTAGATTTTGGTTTTTCGGCCAATTGGACCTTGAGCTTTAAGCCTACTGGGAATGTATTGAGTGGACTTTGTATTTTCTCAATGTTATGGGTTTCTTGGGTGGGTGGGGTTTTATTCCAGCCCTTGACAAGCTGCTCGACTAGTGAATGCTCGGACTTGAGATGCTGAACCCTAAACCCTAAACCCCAAACCCTAAACCTTAAACCCTAAACCCTCGCAGGGCCGTAAACTAGAGCAGACAAAGAAGAAAAGAAGCTCTTGACCAGAATTACCCGCCACATCTCCCAACGCAGTACCCTAAGCCATGGTCCTCAGCCAAGACCCCAAACCCTATACCTTAACCCCAACCCCCAAACCCCAAACCCTAAGCCCTAAACCCCAAACCCTAAACCCTAAACCCCAAACGACCTCAGCCAAGCGGCACGACATTGTTCACGCTAGACATGTACGTGAAGGCAGTCGCGCTCGGAGCCCAGAACCTCAGCAAGTCGCGGCTTGACTCGCCCAAACCCTAAACCCTAAACCCTAAACCCTAAACCCTGAACCCTATACCCTAAAATCAAAACCCTAAAACCCTAAACCCTAACCTTCCAAACCTTGCAAACCATGGAGGGTCTGCTAGGAGTACTTGAAGAATGTTGGGTGTACTTGCTTCCAGTAGACCCTAAGCCCTTCAAGACTTTATACTGCATTGTTTGCCCTAATTACACCCTAAACCCTAAACCCTATAAACCTTAACCTCCAAACCCCTAAACCCTAAACTGGGCAAGGGTCGCATCGTCCGGAGAGTCAATGCTCTCGTCAGCACCGTGCTCTGCGTAGTACCACATGACCTGTAGGCTTTGAAAAGGAGAGGTTTAGGGCTTAGGGTTTAGGGTTTGGGGTTCGGGTTTAGGGTTTAAAAGGTCCCAAGGGTCCCTTCTAACTAATGTAGCTGCTAAGTCCTAAGTCCTACACACCCCTTACGAAGCAAGTTAGCTGATGAGGTTTGGGAGCTATTCAGGTGACAGACATGCTTCGCAAACATCCGGTCAGCTCTTGTCGAATTGCAGGCAGATGTACCCCCTAAACCCTAAACCCTAAACCCTAAACCCCTATACACCCGAGCCCCAAAAAGACCCTGACACGCATGGAAGCTTTTCAATGAGGTTTTCTGAGCCTCGATCTCGTTTTATCATCCCACCCTTCTGAGCCTACCCTAAACCCTAGGGTTTAGGGTTTAGGGTTTAGGGTTTAGGGTTTAGGGTTTAGGGTTTAGGGTTTAGGGTTTAGGGTTTAGGGTTTAGGGTTTAGGCCGTAAACAGCTCTTGGCAAAGGAGTTCAGATGCTGCGACTCCGTGGTAGTCGCATCAAAACCGGGCCAAGCCCGTACCAAGGGACTAAAGGAGGGACCCTTATAAGGGAACTTAGGGGTTCGTCATGGTTTATATAGGGGCTACTCAGGTATGTAGGGACTATATACTAAGGCATATACAAGGATTATCTAGGGGAATTACTTTAAGGGTGCCTTCTAGGTAACCTCATAAGCCCAAGGCAAGGGGCACAAGCCACCAAGATCAGCAGTGCCAGGATGCTTCCTGGCTGGAGAGGTTCTGGGGTTTAGGGTTTAGGGTTTAGGGTTTAGGGTTTAGGGTTTAGGGTTTAGGGCTAGGGTTTAGGATTTAGGGAGGGCTCTTTCAAAAGGACCTTGCAGCCCTGAGCCCCAAGCCCTGACTTCACTTGCGAAGACTGAAGCTGAAATGGCCTGAGAGATTCCGAACCTTAAGCCAGGTCAAAAAGGGCGCCTTTCCAGCAAAAAAAGTGTTTCGGGTTTAGGGTTTGGAGTTCGGGGTTGGGGAGTCTGCTATTCGAGATCAAATTATTCATGACCGCAGATCACGTCCTAGTAGACCCTGGCGCCTGCAGCCAGGTGCCGCATGCAGCTCCTTGTCATCGAGGCAGAATGCAGCACCCAAACCGGACGACAAACTGATAGGTCCAGGGTTTCGGCTCCTATACGGTCTTAGACTTATGCAGTGGTATATAAATCCTAAACCCTAAACCCTAAACCCAAAACCCTAAACCTTGCGGCCTGCCAGGAAAGCTTCAGCAAAGCTCACTCGATCCTAAACACTAATTAAAGCCTCTTGGTAGCCTGGTCAGCATATTCGGATAAAGGTACCCATTTTGGGTTTTGAGTTTCGGGTGTAGGGTTTGGGGTTCAGGGTTTAGGGCTACTTTTATAAGGGCTACTTGTATAAGGGAACCTTGAACAAAAAAAGTGCCAAAAGGACGCCACTGGGCTACAAGGCCCGGAAACCTAAACCCTAAACCCTAAACCCTAAACCCTAAACCCTAAACCCTAAACCCCAAAAGGGGACCAGGCCCTGTAGAGCCGGAGTTGAGGGCCGGCACTGCAGCTGAGCAGCACATGCCTGGCGATGGCCAGCGGGGCGCAGACCTCTGCCCCAAGATGCCCCTACCTAACCTAAACCCTAAACCCTAAACCCTAAACCCTAAACCCTAAACCCTAAACCCTAAACCCTAAACCCAGGGCATTTAGGGTGTTGGGTTCGGTTTGCTGCTTGGGGTCTTTGTTCGGGGTCCCCTTTTTCGAATGCATGCCAGGTGTCGAAGACGCCAATCAATACCATGAAAAGCTTGCAGTGATCCTGGTGCAGAGCTTAATAGCCCAGCAACCATATTAGGGTTTCGGGTTTAGGGTTTAGGGTTTAGGGTTTAGGGTTTAGGGTTTTGGGGTTGCCTACTGTGCAAGGGAACCCAGAACCAAACAAAGGGTAAAGGGTACCACTGGGCTACGAAGTTGGGGATCCGGAATCTCCTCCTAAGGGAGACCCAAGAGTTTCCTGGGAATAAAAAGGGTGCTCTTTTTTGGTTTAGAGGGGCTCTTGATGGAACCTGAACCCTAAAAAACGGCAATAAGGGCCTACTCTGGGCCCTAGAGTCCTAGAGGAGATGATCTTTCTGCCACAACAGACACGTGGGCGGCGGTTAACCGAGCTGCGTCGGAAGGAAGTCAGGACCACTCACGTACTGCTGTGAGATGGCGATAATCAAGAAGAGCAGAGAATCCAACCATTCCGGCTCTTGAGGCATAGCTGTGGGTTTAGGGTTTAGGGTTTAGGGTTTAGGGTTTAGGGTTTAGGATTTAGGGTTTAGGGTTTAGGGTTTAAGCAGATTTGCACTCCAATAACCCTAAACCCTAAACCCTAAACTCTAAACCCTCAACACACCTACGCAAAGGTCCTCCGATGCGCCGGTGACAACGCCAAAGAGCTGGCCGCAGATGATGAGGTACCCAACCGCAGAGCCAATGCAGTTGAGGGTGTTCATGAACCTTGCAAGGGTTTAGGGTTGAGGGTTTAGGGTTGAGGGTTTAGGGTTGAGGGTGTTCATGAACCTTGCAAGGGTTTGGAGTTTAGGGTTCAGGGTTTAGGGATTGTATAGGGTGTATGGGGTGGAGGGGGGGGGTTCTAGTGATGGGTCTTCCGAGCACCTGCGGCCAAAGCGCTCTATGCAAACTCTGCCCCCTGTGAAGCGCGACGCGCCGGAAACTTCAAACCAGGCATTCAGGACTTGCGGCTTCGGGCTTCGGTTTAGGGTTTAGGGTTAGGGTTTAGGGTTTAGGGTTTAGGGTTTAGGGTTTAGGGTTTAGGGTTTAGGGTTTAGGGTTAGGGTTTAGGGTGTAGGGTGTAGGGTCTAGGGCTTGGGGTTTCGGACCACAATCTCTGCAGGGCGCAGTCCAGGCTTAGGGGGCTTTGGAGTCTCGGGCTTTAGCATTGAAAGATTTCCAGGACAGAGGTCAAAGCTTGCGTGACCACTTGATCGAGAAGGGCTCGAAAGTGCGCAGGAGTGAAAAGGTTTAGGGTTTAGGTTTTTTTGGTTTAAAGGTTTAGGGTTTAGAGTGT